CCTTGGTGGCTGTGTGGCTCCTGCCTGGCTCTGCCTCTGATGTGGCCCTCCTTTAATTGCTTGTCTACCATGCCTTGTTGTCCTTGAAATTAAGTAAGGGAGGCTGCCCAGGGGCCTTAGAGAGAGCCTGAGTCCAATCAACTCCTCAGCAGATCCCTCCTGGACCCCACTAGTCTCAATTCAGCCCTTATGCTAAATAGGCCCCCTCAGCCTGGCAGTGCCCCCACAGGATACCTGTCATCCTAAGGGCTACCTGTATGTGGCTCCATTCCTCCCCTACACAACAGCCCAAGCCTTGCGGGTGTTATCACTCCAGGTATTAGTTTCTCCTAGCCCCTCTCAGGACTCTCAGACCCTCTGGGTCTCTCCACCCTCTATCTCTGGGACCACAGACCCCTAGCCCCATCATGTAGTCCCTCCCAGAAACTCTAATCCCTCACTCCAACCCTTCCTGGCCAGCAGGTCCTCTGTTCAGCTTCCTGACTCAGTCTCTTCTCTGGGCTGGGGAACCATTTGTACCCTGCTCAGATCCTTCTCTCCTTCTCTGGGCTGGTGGGCACTATTCCCTTATTCAGCCCCTCCACTGGGCGGTGAAACCTTCTGTGCCCCACTCAGCCCCCTTCTCTGGGCTCATAGGCCCTATTCCCTTGCCCCCTATCCCCACTCAGCCCCTTCTCCAGGCCAAGAACCCTCTGTATCCCCAATGAGTCCGTCTTCTGGGCTGGGGAATTGTCTGTAGGTCTCAAACCTGCCTCCAGCGGGTCTCAAAGCTTGTACCTCAAACAATTATTCCAACATAAAACAAAGCCCCTCTGCCTGCATAAACTCTTTCTTCTCTGCCCCAGGTAATATTCTCTGGTTCCCAGGCTTGCAGAGTTATATCTGCTTTTCCTGCCTTCTGGAGTCCTTCAGGAGTCGTGCTGCAGAGAACTCCTTTCTTTAACTTCTCAGGGCTAGGCTCCCTGACCTGTGCAGGCACTTATCTAGCTGCAGTGGAGCTTTCTTCTGGTCAGGTGAGCCTGCCATTAGCCCCTGTACCACCTGGAAGCTGCCTTTTACGCAGCTTTTCTCCTAAAGTAGCAGGCACACCACAGTGCCCTCCTACAGCCCTCCTCTCTCTCCCTCAATTCTTCATCTTTAGATGGGGTTAATACCACTGCCTTCCCTACTGAAGACATTGAGCACACCTACATGTGCACTTTAATGTGCATTAGCCTATTTTAATGTGCATCAGAGTGTCACAAAAGGCACACTTTTGCTAATGCACATTAAAATAGGCTAATGCCAGGTCCTTTATGGGTAGAGAGCCTGGGGCACTGTTTCAGAGGAAGAGCACAGCAGGCAGTGGCCTTGCCAGCCCAGCCCAGATTTCTCATGCACATTTGTGGGGTGGAGTTAGAAAGGCAGATACAACAGGGGACTTCTGAGGGAGTGCAAGAAGGTCTGGCTGGTAAGGCTGCTGGCCCACGTTTGTGCCAGCGCTGGGGAGTGTGGCTGGTATAACAAAGGCAGCCCGTGAATGGCAATGGCTGCACTGCAGCCAGTCACTAAGGTTTCCCTGCCTCAACCGAGTTTCGACACTTCCTTGTCATGGAGAAGAAACCACTCAAGGAAACCCAGCCCAATGTCACTGGGGCTGACCACGGCACCGCCTAAGTATATGCCAGATGAGAGCCCTTGCTCCTGAATGCAAGGCTCAGCTCTCCCAACCCCAGCGCCTGGCTCTCCATGTGCAGTTGTGCTGAGCAGCCCCAGACATCCTCGGGGGAAAGGAGTGTCAGTGATAAAGTTTGTTCCCTGTGGGGAGATGACTGTGGGTTAAGTTCAAACTCCAGGCCAAAGCCATCATTGCATGGACATATTCAGCTTGAACACTGACATTCTGGCAAATGGAGTGGGTCTGATTATCTCTCCAGTATGAGAGTTGCTCCAGGCTCTCTAGCACTGGCAGCTTTTGAGCAGCATGGTGGGTGGAGGTGGTGCAGGGCTGCCTCTGTCCCTAATCCACAGGGAGGGTGAGAGGGAATTGGCTATGGGGAAGGGCAGTATCTGTGCAAGAGATACCCCCAACTACAGCCAGAGCTCTGGCAGCAGATAAGGGCTCAAAGTTACCCCAGTCCCTGTCCCTCCTAGATGTCAGGAGAAGGTTGGGAACTCACAGCTATGCCAGGCCCAGCCGCAGCCTGCAGGCCACAGCACAGCCGCATGTTTCTGGCTTGGCTTCATGGTCCAAGCTGATCAGGAGACCACTGCAGGGTGGAGCAAGGTGTCCCGGGGTGCACGTAGGAATAGCAGCACCAGTGCGGAGACAACACTTTTGGAGCAGCCCCTCTGAGCATCGCTTTGATTGCATTTCTGAGCCCTGCTTGTGTTCAGGCATGTGGCAGCAGGCACTTGAAGGTGAGCTCAGAGCAGTAAGGGACCCGCACTGGCTTCTTCTCCCATATGGGTCACAGAGAAGCTGCCGGGAGGATCCTGAGAGGAAGAGGGGACCAGAAAGTGTGGGGTGGGTTGGAGTGGAGTTAGCTTTGGGGTTGGAAGCACAGTGGCACTTGGGGGCTTGGGGTAGCTACTTGGGACCGTACACTACAGAGAGACTATATATACAGGCTATACTGTGTTAGCAGGGGATCCAGCAGCCTGACTTTTCCTCACTGGGTTTCTCACCCTTGCCTTTGGGGTGTAACAGCCTGGAGGAAACACCCTTGGTTGATGTCTGGGCCTGTGTTTGACTGCTTAGGGAGTGGCAATGAGGGAAGCTGGGCTCAACAGCAAACTCTTCCTCAGTTCTCCCTGTGGTTCTGTCAGGCAGACATGGGTCATGGTTGCAACCAGCCTGTCATGTAAGACATCCCCCCACAGAGCCAGTGATGCTACATATGTCATGATGGGGTCAGAGCAGGGCTGGGGCCTGGCCATGCTGGTTGGACACAGCCGCAATCCTGACCCATGCTAGAACCACCAGTATGCCCTTGCCACTTTACTTGGGAGCAGCTGGGCCTGGGATTGTGGTGAGGCAGGGAGGCTGCTGGGTGTGCGTGTGGGTGGGTGGGAGATTATGGTGGGCTGAAGTGGCAGTGGGTGTAGGCACATTAGGCAGAAGATGGATGGTGGATGTTAGGGGATTGAGTGGCTGGTGACCATGATGGG